TCACAATCGAGACCTAATCATTTTGTCGGCCTATGCGCGTTTGTTACCGGGACATCTATTTCGGTGGCGTACGTGTAAATCCGCAAATTTCTGGGGTGCGACTCGGGACCCTTTTTGGAATGAATTATTAGGTCTCAGTAATGCAGTGTGAAATGTGTGACTCGCTGGAACAAATTGACAGATGCAATAAATGTGAATCTTCTTAATTGAATCACCGTTAATGTATGTGGTTAATATGTGACTGTGTTTCTTGGCAGGTATATGGGGCCTTCTCTGGAATAGTTTTATTTGTTCGTGCTTAGCGGGTGAATGATTACAATTTTTTAGTACATGTAATTACTTTTAAAAATCCGACAAAATTATTTCTTGAAATAAAATGATTTTTTTTTTTTTTGTTCGGGAAACTAATGATTTTACTTCTTTGTGTTTTTCTTTCTCTGAGGGTATCTTAATGGGAAAAAAACAATTGCGCGCTGGCAGTATCAGCAGATTGTTGAAATACATGTATGTCGCCAATACTATATTATTTGGAAAATTATAACTTGATTTGAACCAATCTTCTGACCAAAAAAAACACCTTTAATTTGAGGTTAGTTAGTAAAGTGGAGTGCTGTGGCCTCGTGGTTAAGGGCATTGGATTCGTGGTCTGCGGGTAATTCTGCAGGTTGTGGGTTCGAGTCCAGCCTGGGGTCATGGTACGTGTGCTCTTGGGCAAGGCACTTTGTCACTCATTGCTTCTCTCCACCCAGGAGTAAATGGGTACCTGTGAGGGCAGAGATGGTTATTGTGATTGAATTAGCTTCCTTGCACCTAACATCGAGCTGTATGCTCCCCAGGGAGCTGAGATGGTATTTGAAATGTTTAATTGGCCCAATGATCAAGGGTAATAATAATGCAAAGCGCTTTGATCTTAGTTAAAAGCGCTATATAAGAACCCGTTGTTAGTATTATTAAAAAGTCAGTATTTGGTTTTTAAAGATTTGATTTTAAAAACCCTAATAAATCAAACATTTTTTTCAAAAATCAAAATCAAAAAGATATCCTGCTCTTATAAGGTAAAACGGAGTGTGCCTAAAATAGTGCAACATTCAGAAAAAAAATAAAACTATTTATTGTCTTTTTCTTCAATGAAATTATATATTACATTAAAGCCTGACTATTTCTCAATCCACTCCTTTTTACCCCATTCCATTTGGGTCCCCAGATCCAGAAATACAATCAATTAAGTGAAAGGGTGTAAATTTTACTTGGGCCACTCTCACCTGGACATACTGAACCCGGGTCAAGCATTGAATAGGCATTGAATAGGCATTGAAGTTGCTGACATCACAGGTGAGATTGGCCCAAGTAAGATTTACACCCTATCACTTAATTGATTGCATTTCTGGATCTAGGGACCCAAATGGAATGGGGTAAAAAGGAGTGGCCGGATTGACAAATAGTCAGGCTTTACTGTAATATATAATTTCATTGAAGAAAAAAAAACATTAAACAGTTTTAATAATATTTGTTTTCTGAATGTTGCACTTTTTTGGCACACTTTGTATTTGGCCCCAAAAGCAATTTTTTTTTAAATGGCCGTCAATTGAAACATTTGAAAGGTATGCTTTCTAAATTTTCCGATTGCAGGCATGCACTCCCTTAATTTGTTCACAACTTTAGAACCCTTCTGGTGCTTTACTTTAAAGGGAATATACAACATTTGCAAACTTCGAAAAATAAAACTACCAAGTTTTACGAAATACCTTACTAGGATGTTGGTAAATGACAGTCTCAAGCATCTTGTAAAATTATGGCACCTGGTGTGAAGTCATTTTCAAGAAAATGGTATTTTTGTAAACATTTCCAACGGTGGTCGGCCGACCAGCGTTGGAAAAACCTAGCTATTTTTCAACTTCTGCTCCAAATTTACCATTTTTTCAGTCCAAATTTTGTTTGCTATTGGTTACATGTTCATGAACGGGTGCAGGCCAGCTAGACTGGTTCCCTTGCCTTACAATTTTCCATCATCTATAAATTGATCCATTTTATCTTTTGTGGAGTCAGGGAACCAGACTACTTGAACATTTTTGTTTTTCTTGGTTTTTCCAACCTTTTCGAACACTAAACTTCAAAAATGTCAGTGTAACAATATTTGATCTATTATACTAACCTCTCAAATAGTTCATTTCTGAAAATTACAGCAAAAGCCAATGATGTACATTCCCTTTAATGTGCTCCATTCATTTTAAGGTTTTGCGAATTTAGCTTCCCCCTCATTAGTATGATGATATATTGAACTACACGTTCTGTGATGAGAAATTATGAATCCTACTCTGCAGCTATAGTGGCATTGGGCGGGAAAACCTCCCAACCAATCATCGCCGACCTTGGAAAGAGCAGCTCTACACACCTCTCTTAGCCTCCATCTCATTGCACGGTGCCATATCAGGCAATTAGTCTGGTCCCGCTGCTCTCACCTCTTCCACTATGGATTTTAATTGCCAATGACCTTACCTGCTTGTGGTAATGGGCATGGTTGAAGTAAGGCACAGTATACATTAAGTAGGGCACATTATAGCTTCACACTTTTTTGTGACGTAGAAGATGTGACTTGTCACGTCAGAATTACATGTACTTTAATCCTGCACACGTGCACTAGATTTCCCGATTATCGATTTCGCAAAAGCAAGGCTGTTGCGATGAATTGATTTACAGTCAGAATAAAACTAGAACGTTTGCCAAGACGTTTTCCTAATTTTGAGTCTAGTTCCATCCTTCATTATTAGGGGAGTCAGGTTGGCGCAGCAGTACTTTCCTTGCCTTCCACCGCTGTGACCCGGGTTCGAATCCCGCCTGGGCCAATATGTGGGTTGGGTTTTCAGTCCCTACCTGATTCTGTTGGTTTTCCTCGGAATATTCTATTCTGGGGTTTTCCTCTCATATTGTTTTCCCTTTACTGGGCCCCATGGGAGATCAGTAGATTCCACTGAATGGGCTACCCAGTTAAAATCAAATTTTAGTTAGAAGCAAATATAGGTTTTCCCGGCTATCTTAAAACATTTTTCATTCAGATTCACAAACTCTAACAATCAATTTCGTCCGAGAAATATGTTACATGCTTTAAACAAAACCTATTTAGTCATGCACCATTAAATTTCAAAGTTTGGTCACCCTTTTTAGTCACCGGGTCGAGAATATTCGTCATTACACTAGATCAAATCCGTCTAAGCTGTTGGCGAATGGCAGCATTCAGAGATCAAATGCGTCTTATATAATCAATTAGACGAATTTGATTTGTGAATCACACGATTCGGCGTAGATGAGACGAAATGGAATACACCGGGTCGAAAACGTGTGCTTATTGTTTGAATTTGTTTGGAATAAATTTGAAATTGTATGACAAAAGACGAAATTAAACATTAAAAGAGCACTAAATCGATGTTGTTGGACGAAATTGAATATAAGAATCGGTGAATTCGAACGAAAAATATTTAAAATAGCCGGAAAAACCTATAATAAATGAATAATCTTGAGCATTATCATATGTAATCTACTGGTCTACGTATTAACTCGGTCATTGAATTGAAACTTTTTTGGTTATTTTGTGATGTGTCAAATGAGGGCGCTATTCTAATGCTTTAATTTATTGATTTCATATGTGACGTCATGACGGCTCCCTTGTTAAGCCCTAATTTTGAGTCTAGTTCCTTCGAATAAAAACCATACATTTTAAAAGAATGAACTTGTAAAGGGTTGAAATCTGCCAGTAGAGTCGTGTGTGATGCTGATTGTGCCCTTTTCTCAAAAACGAAAGTTTTGTAAAAGTTGTAGACACTTGCTGGGTTCACCGAAAAGTTTGAAGAGCGCCCCCAATCTGATCTGTGGTGGGTTAGGCCCCGTGTCCTTGCTTTCTTCTAAAATGTATCCCTCAACGATGTTTAATAGCTTCACTGCTAATTAGCGAATGATACTGAAGTTACGTCTATCTTGTATGTAGCCTAGTTCGTTGAGTTTTTTTAAAATTACATTGTCGAAATAAGCAATAGTTAGGCCTCAAGTTTACGCGTAATTTCCACGTTATGCATATTCATGAGATTCAAACTAAACGTACACGAAGCTGAACAAATTTACACTTTTTTTTGTATCTGCCGGACAGTGTATCAACATTTTTTTTAAGTGGTGGGGTTTTCATTAAATTGCGTAGAATCTGTAACTCAATACACATACTTACTACATAGGGCCCGTTCTATTTGGATAGCTACATGTACTCACTAGTGTGTGTTTAGGACTTATATTGGATTGTTGTAGGTACTTCAGTTTAAAATTAAAAAATGATGACATTCTTGTAACATCGATACATTCTGTTCGGGGTATATTCAGTGGTTTATTCAAGCTCATAATATGGAAATAGAAATCGTAAGAAAACGATCAATCTATTTTTGTTGTACAATAATCGATGATTAAATATCGAAGGTTCGATTATTTGCCAACCGATCTATGGCTCATAAAAGGGGGGAATTTTTTTTGGGGGGGGGGGGGTAAAAAGTATGAAACTTGAATATTTTAATCTTATGAATACATTACAACTGCATATCCTAGCTCTGTCATTAGTCATAACTGTACGTAGAATTAGTCAAGAAATGATTGAATTCCACTGAGTGCTTGAAAATGAAACAACTGATCGATTTTCGATAATTCATATTGATTTTGAATTGATTAATATTGTCTTTTAGATTGATAGATCAGGTTAAATCGAATAAAGCATAAACGAGCAAAGTATAGCCCTTTAAACTAAAAAACGCAAACATATTTTTTTATTTCCCTTAAGAGTTTTAATCAAATGACAAATACAAAAGTCATTTTCCCCGAGCAGTTTACATCTAAAATAATCATCATAAATTAAATTTTCGACAATCCAAAAAAACCTCTTCAACCTGTCGAAATCAACCTGTTCTAATGCCTTGGGCGATATCGCGCAGTTGAAGTTGCACGGGGGGTCATTACGACCGAATAGCCTGGAACAAACCCACTGATTTCCACATTGCATTCATTCCTATGGAAGACCACACGCGGTCTGGCATACACAATACATTACACATTGTACACACACGTAGGGGATATCGCACCAGCAGACGTCTGCTAAATCTCGTCTGGTCTGCGAAAAAGTGTCAGATTTCTCACTCGAATTTCTCCATTTCTGAATCGCTATGGGAACTCAGTAGTGCCGGGAATTGTGACATGGAAGGCGTGTCTTGAAGAAATTGCCATTTTCAACGAAATTCTGAGGAGAATAGACCCAAATATGGATTGATTATTGAAGCCTCGTGTGTGACTGGAAACTTTTTTCGACTTCGTAAGTAGGCCTAGTTCACGAAGTTCATTCGCGTTATACACTGTCGGTGTTTTTTTTGTTTACAACCGAAGTTTGTCTCGAAATAGACTCAGAAACAACGTCGTTGTGTTACTTTTTCTCCGTTCATGTGGTTTGACAGCCCTATGAATATGCTGTATTGAATCTCGTTTTGTCTTCTAGTGGCAGGGCTACAGGATTCAGCATCAAACTGCGTCGCATTGGACGGGTTTCGCGATGTCTGATTCGGCGTCCATTGCCGGTTCTTCCGTGGCCAGCAGCACGTCTTCGGGACCCGTGCCCCCCGGCAGCGCCGGCGGAGCAATCCAGCAGGGACTCGGTACCAATGGACGGCTGTTGATGCTCGGCTTACGAGGGGAATGGGGAACTGTGGAGGCCCTTTTACGAAATGCAGAAAAGGGGGACCCGGAGATCAACAGACAAGAAGAGGTGAGCTAAATTTATGTTTTCAAATTTTGGAAAGATTTCCATGTATACGAAGTTCACTAGTTTTCCTCTGTATTGACTAACAAGCCCCCAGATAGCAATTTCATGTCATCAAAGTCAATTTGAGCAGTGAGAAAATACAAGCATTTTCTTAGAAAACACTTAGAATTTTTCAGTCCAATCTCATAGGGTTTGTACACAGGGTGTTGAGTGAACTTCGTATATGGAAATCTTTCCGTTTTTTCTTCAACAGAACAATTGAGATACAGTGAAATTTTGATATGTCAAACTCTGATAACTCAAAACAACTGTTAAGTCAAACAAAGAATCCATTCCCTTCGTAATTCAATTTAGTAGTATAACAAGACAACCCTGCTTAACTCATATTCATAACTCTGCTCAAGTCAAATTTTGAACCTGTTCCCTTGAGGTTTGACTTTTAAACGAGATTTCACTTTAAAATGGTATGACTGAGAACATTTTAACATTCACCAATTCAAATATAATTGATCGCAATTTTCACTGTGAATAAAATACCTGTATGAACATTCTACATTTGTTTTTTCAAAGTTACATAGGCCTATCTTGTCATATTTTCTGCATTGATTTTGAACTGAAACTTTTGAATCCTAAAAATATCGATTAAAACGCTAACATCCTAACCATTACTTTGGGATCAAGAATTGAGTACTACAGAGTATAAAGTATTTCATACCACAGTTTACTCTTTGTAGCTTTAGGTGCGGTTAGGGTTAATAATTTGTTATCAAGTAGCCATAGTGATGTACAACATAAATCTTGACAGAATCCGACAATTCAAGGTTCAATGCAAACATGTATGGTCAAATTTGCAAAAGGGGCTTATCATAAGTTATTGAGCGCAAACCGACTGAACTGAAACGGAATTCCATGCATTTTTGCATTTGACTTTCACTGAAAGCCAACACTGCAACATACTGTACAGGACTTCATTGTGATTTTTCTGGGGCACAAGTTTGTGTTGTCAAACGTTAAAATTAGCACCTCAACCCAACAAGTACTTTATTTGTGCCATTTTTTTTATTTATAAATTCTGATGGTCCTCTATGCACGAGGAGATTTCAATACCCTTTGATTATCTGATTGCCATAGCAACCTAACAATGAAAAATCACAAACCGCATTGTGCGGCCTTTTTTTTTTTGGAGAGCTCTGAAGAGGAAACGGCCTGAATAGATGCAGGTGGATTCTCCACGGATTACTGATTCCCTGCAGCTGGATCCGTGACTGACGAGATAAACCTGAATAGTCTCATCAAAGCCAGTATTGGCGCATGAAACCCATCCTCGCAACGTGGGGGTATTTTCAAGTGGGACTATGAAGGACAGGCTTAAAATACTCAGATGATAAAATGTTTGGCGTGTTAGTCACACTTGGGTACTTTCTTAATTTTTTTAAATGCCCACAAAATTTTACCTAGTTCTACTCTGTATAGTCTACATTGTTTGACTAGTACTTTAAAACTGTAGTGTAGTTAGACTTACAATGTACAAAAAGTTTGCATAAAATGTAAACATCTAGATCAATTATGTGTAACCTTCGGGTTCTAATGGCTATTACAAAGAATGTAAAAGGAAAAATCGAGTACAAGTATGTATGTATGACCCTTGCCTAAGTACCATTCATTTCCTGACTCAAAAAATTGAATTGATAAAATAAGGGATTTTAGAATGCCGGGAAAATCAGTGTAGATCATGGAAATATCTTTACCACTGACCGCAGTATCATAAATTATACTGTTTGTTCCCCAAAATACTGAAAAACAAAAAACGTCCTTGCCCCTTTGTATTTGTTTTCTCAGATCTGCCGTTCTTGTGCTATTTCCCAGTTTCAAACCCAAAAAATAGATTCCCTTTCTCAATTGCTATTTTTTTTCTACTCATATGCAATCACTTTTGAATGAGACATCTACCAAAAAATTCACTTTTTACTGAATCATACTTTACAAAGTTCGAATTACTTTTAATTGCAAGCTGAAAACTCAGTTCTCATGGGGACGGCTGGTTCCTGCCCCCAAATCAATATCGATAATGTTGATAGGGAACCAGTTTACTCGCCAGGCCAAAGTGTTTCAGCCAAAAATAAAAACTTTTTATCCCAGAGGGTTGCAGATGCCTAAAACGTAAAAAAAAATTTAAAAAAATTGTGGAGGGATTGAAATAAAACATGTTTACCAGTTGAAAAATAAAGAGAAAAAACATTATGGGTGTGGGGAGAGCAAATCCTAACCTCAACTTTGTCATAATCAATCACCCCATTTTGGTGGATTTTGGGGGACTCAGTCCTGAAGGCCTTAACTAAATCAGGGGTGTGAAATCTCAGCTTTAAAACTGATTTCAGCTTTTTTTGTTTTGGATTTCAGCTTTTTTTTCCTCACTTGTTGTGTACAAAAGTATAGGAGCTTTCCAAAGTTCAGCTTTTTTACACCTTTTTCAGCTGTTTTCAGCTATTTTTATGAGTGGTCACTCACACCCCTGTAAATATTGATGGCGTATGATCGACTTGGGCCTGGAGGCCTAAAGCAAAGCAGTGTGATTGATGGAGTTTGGCGGACTTGGTCCAGTACTTCCCTCTAATCATGATGGTGCTCTCGTGACAAGTGGATTGGAAGGGAGGGGCTGACAAAAGAAAGTGAAGAATACTGACCAGTTTCAATTCGTCTTTAATCCGATCATCGAAAACTTGTGGAGTGTTGGCACTTGTGCAACCACCTGACAGATTCACAGATTTATTTCTAAGAAATTCTATTCATCAAGTAATTATATTTTGTTTCCCCCAGGAAACCGGAGTTACTCCGTTTATGCTTGCTGTCAAGGACAACAAAATTGTTGTAGCAGAAAGATTAATTGAGCTCGGAGCACACATCAATGCTAAATCTAAGGTAAGATTCCTTTTAAAAAAAAGTCTGTTTGTTCTAAACTTCAAATTGGACCAAAACTTGGTAAATCTTCTACTTTCCTTTTTTGTTGATTCTTGTATTTTTGGTTTAATAATCGTTTAAAGCGCCAAGAACAATTATGTACAGGCCTACATTTATCATTCATGTACCGGTATCAGATTATTTACAATGTAGGTCCTCAGGGCCCATTGACTGTAATCTGGCCAAATTACAGTTTTTATCTTCTCAAAAAAAAAAAGAAAAAAAAAGATCACAATGATCCGATCGTGCCTGGAATCCAAAGGCCGATCAAGTAGCCTGCTAAAAAAAATATCATTATTTGGTTACTGTTCCGACAAAAATCAATACACTACAGGTAAAGTAGGCGTCTGCGAATTGTTACTGTGGTTTCATGGCAAAGTATTTAATTAAAACCCCACCAGTCGCACATTTCTGTTGAGATTCGCTACTTGAAGTCGCTAGGCCGGCCATCTGCTCTAAGTAAAGTCTGGGCATCCGTCGCTAGGGAGGGCTTAGCAACGCGTTGCATAATATCAATACTATTGGAACACGTAGATCACCGTCAGATCAACAGCAGGCATTGATTTTGTGTGTATTTAAAGCGGTGTTTAATTACATCATATATTGCCTGCAAGCTGTTGACACTGCGGTTGTTGTGGTGTCGGATGAATAAATGATGACCAAGTGTCTGTGACGAGGCCAGAATTTTGTAATTAAAAGTAAATTAGGCTAGATACTTGTACGTAATTAAACTTGGAAGTCACATGACTGTAGGCCTGCTACCGTGAAAATGAGCTTTGCTGAAAGTTGTGACAGTCCTGCATTTGATCAATATAAATGTACAGTGTGAGCTGTGTTGACTTGACTAGAAGGAAAATTAACAGTATGTTGTTTTACCGGTACTTATTAGAAAGGGAATTAACAATATCTTGTTTTTAAACAAATTTGTTGGAGACAGACAGGGATGTCAATATTTTGAATGAGCGTCTATTAAAAAGAATAACACTAGTCACAGCAGTCAATCTAATGACAAGCAGAAACTTTGCTACTGAGCACCATTGCCGCAGGCACATTTTTTTGTTTTTGGAATCCAGTTACGAGACGCCAAAAAAGTGTGTGAATGTTGTTTTTTTCTCCATTAACAAAATGTGTATTGCCACAGAGATTCCATACACGTGTACATACATGTAGGTTAGTTGTTGTACATGTACAGTATACCCTACTTAAAAAACTTGTGAGCAATTTTATCACTGGCATGTCACACAAGATGACAAATTTTGTAAGTTTACATTTTGGCGCGGATGTGCAGTTGCCCCCCCCCCCCCCCCCCCCCCCCCCCCCCCCGGCATCAAAATGTGCCGCTGAGTCAAACACACACTTTACATCACACAGGTTTTTATTAACAATTTTTCCAGAGCCGTGAATTACAATGTAGAAAGAAAAAGGTGATTGACCGTTGGCAGTGCCAACAACTGATGGCGGAACGATTGGCCGATCGTTCAGCACAATTGACCAATGGCATACATGTAGCAAACAATTGATTCTCAGATCGCACCCATACTTCGGCGCTACAACCCAAAGTTTCTTCAGAAATTAAAAGCGTGCTGTGTGCCATCAGTGGCATTTCTGGGAATAATTAGTGGCTCCGTCGCCATCATTTTAAATGTGGTGTGATTAGCCTCCTCAGAAAACTAATTACCCCGGTAGCCTGTTATTGGTTGAATGCACTTTAGGTTGTTGAACCTAGACTGTGATTGTGAAATGAAGACATTGGTTAATGGTAAACAATTATTGTACCTTTTTATTATTGTATAGGGTTTATAAGTAGTTACTTTTATTGCTCACTGTCATTCAGTTGCACACCGTTATTAGAATTCATAATTGATCTTCATATACTGTACACGTACATCATGCATGTATAACTGTGCATCATGCATCCGACGGATTTAAGTGTTTTGAAACTACATACGGTACTTGAGTGTCTAACCTTCTGTACGTACATGTTGTCGATATGGTGTAGCAATGGTAAGTTAGAATTATTAATGTTAAATTTAAAACTAAATGAATCTCTTCAAAAGCATGCATGGCACACACTATTCTTTTCACTCCATCAAAAAAATTAAGAGCTTACATTGTACATTGTAGTTTTCAGAGCAAGAAAAAGGGGATGGTCCCAAACAATCAATTTGGAGAGTTTGGAGTTTCAATATTGCATTATTGATGCAAGGATGTTCTGCCCAGGTGCAGGTCAGCACGGGTTATTTTCGGTTAAAATGTTTAATAATGGGTAAGTGTCTGGCACCATGGAGGAAGCAATAGCACACACTGAGCAACCTTGGCTGTAACACCTGTGTTACTTAATACTTAATGGGATTCAACCTGTGTGATCGAAAATGTGTGAAAACCTTTTTGGCATTCTTGGGTGCAGATGTAATAAAATTACATGCTGTTAAGGATCCAACACAGAATGTTCCCTGTACAGAGCTATCCATGCACTGTGTATGGTGTCTTCTGTGATGTGGTCCATGGCTTCTTGCACCTGGGTGGAAATTGCCTAGTGTGCCATTCGTGGTCCCCCCCCCCCCCTTACCAAACCCACATGGACTGTTTTAAACCGAACAATTTTGTTGTGTAAATACATTGATTAACAAATTTGGGGTCTTTAAAAGTAACAATAATTAAAATGTCAATTTCAGACAGTTTTGGGGTGGTTTTTTTTTTGGGGGGGGGGGGCACCTGCATACATTTCAATTTATCAATCCGTATTTAATAAAATTGCGTGTCTGCAATTTTAACAAGTCTGCGTTCCATGCGCACGCTCTGGGTAACTCTGTGGAGCCCCTCAGGTCATCATAAATGAACATTTGCAGTACGTTTGGTGTTATGGATCAGTAAACTTTCACAGTTAAATACCATTGTATAACAATACAGTTTGCGTTTGTCTGGAAAACTCAGCAGAAGCTTTTGTAAGCAAACTGTAAGAAAGTAAAGTGAGAAAAAGCAAACTTAAGTTCCTTTTGATGCTGTCAGCCTACTATGTTAGAATCAATACAGATTCGTATTAAAGTGTAACCGCATCCCATTGAACACGGGTAGGCAAGGCATACCGCATACATGAACACTTGTACTGGTGTGTACACGGGTTGACAATAGATCTATGTTGATTTTTCTACCCTGACAGAGCCTCTCAAGTTTGGTCCTAATTAGGGGTAGATGTTACCTGGTTAGAGGTCCAGCACCTGATTTCACGAAACGCTGCGATGCGTCGCAACTCGAGTTACGACGTGTAACACGTCGCAACTCGCGACAAGTCGTATGATCCATTTCACGAATTTTAGCCTGGAATATTGCAGTTGAAATTTCAAAGTACATGTAGCTATACAGTCCACTGAGAGCTTGATTTTCTTTAAAATTGCATCACGCAACCACCATTTTGTTTTACGTTTTAAAAAATTTCGAGAGGAGATCTGACGACTCTTTGTTGAATATCAGACGACTATTTACTGTACGCTGACTAAATACCGGTACCGGTACCTTAAACAGTCATCGAGTTGTGCTATCTACGACGCGTTGCACTTATGACGTGTTTTGTGAAATGGATCGCAGGACGCGTCGCAGCTGCAACGCATTGTAGAGATACGACGCGTCGCAGCGCTGCGATGCATCGTAAGTTACGATGTTTGTATAAAAAAGGGTTCCTAAATCTTTGTGTTGGAACCGGGTCTGACCATGGAGAAATTCCTCCATGGTCTGACACAGAGATTTTGGAAAGTGGAAGTCCCTTTTGAATCAGGTTTTTGCAAAACCACAAGCATGATACACGTATACACACGTGTACCGGTACATGTACATGTACTATATTGTTTGCAACTTTGCACTTGCTGAAGCACCACAGCAGATCTACAATGGCTGATTCCACGTGTGTGTCAATAAAGTCATTCAACTGCAGTCGAGTGGTTTCCATTAATACCGGTACTCGTGCCTCACTGTGGTTGTCATGGAGACACTGTGTGCTACTGGTCAGCAAAGTTTCCAAAAGACAAGTATTTGTATTGAATCAGCAAATGTGTATTGAAAGTTTGGTCGCTGCTCGTTGGCGCTCAGACATAAACATACAGGGTTTTCTATTTTTCCCGTATATGTAAATGTAGACATTACATGGATTTCCATACTACAAAAGCACCCAGTTTTTAAAGGATAGTTGTGTGGATGTTTATATCCTACCGGTACTTTTAAATGTTCTTTCCGATTAGCATCATTTCGTTCAAAATGAATTTTGTAGCGCAATGGGGCGTATTCCAGGACGCAGTGTCCTTTAAGCACAGAGTAAGTTCCAAATTTCCATTTTAGTTTTACAGTCACTCATACTTAAAGAGCTCTACTACATGTAGTTTACTTTAAAGTTTTCGAAAGCCCCTGCCTTTAAAGCGAAGCCCTCAACTTTTCAAGTAACCCCCATGTATATTTACACTGTTCTCTTGGGCACTTTACTGTACACACTTTATTTTTTCAGTGGGTGTCATGCCAAATTCCACCAGACAAACTCCCTGACATAGATCCGATTGCCTTATGTCAACCGCCTTTTGTTAAAAGGTAAACTTTGTAAACTTGTTCAATTGTAGGGACTCCAGTGTGCATAATTGTCAGTGTTTACAGTGACTAATGAAAAGAAATACTATAGGGCCTAACGTGTGCATTAAAGGGGCTAGCAACTTCTGTTTTTACTAAGCAAATGTTTGTTGTTCTAAGAAACAAATTAGTTTGTGTGCTAAGCAGAGCAGGCTAGTAAAGTCATTTAGTTACTTTTATAATACACGTGAAATATATCACATGATTTAATTAAAGGGAATGTATAACATTCGCTTTTGCTGCAATTTTCAGAAATAAATGGTTTTGGAAGATTTTAGCAAATGTTGCTACCGGTATAAACTGACTTGTTTCAAGTTTTGGGCCTGTAGAATATAGTTGTAGATGCTGGGGAA